GCCACTAGGTTCGGCTAATTACAGGAGAATTTCTCCAGGGGATGCAGCAAATGTTGGTTGTGGGCAGGATGAGGACTTCGACATTGTTAAAGGATAATTTTAAAAAATTCATACAAATACAAAGTGAGTATGTATCAAAGATCTTATTTAACTCATTAATTGATGAAGAAACCAGTAAGATGTTACAACTGGTTTGAAGGAGAACCCACTAAACTTTTTGGCCCATTTCAAAGTCTTGAAATATACAAGTCCATCAGGGATGCTGAAGGGAATTTGCTTGGTAGCTGTAAACCAGCAACACTCATCAGTGTCTACAGGCCAGTGATGAACCACTTTCCAGGGAACACAATTTCCATTTCTAGAACCAAGAATCACTTGCATTCCTATCAGCTCTCTCCACTTGACATAACTGTAAAAGGGCTCCAAGTTCATGAAATGTGGAGATAACCAAAATGGGTGACTAGACAACATACCCATTAAACTTTCTGGCCCATTTCGAAATCTTGAACCATTTTGTTGACGATGTTAATGGAGGAGATGGGGAGGAGAAAGCGGTTGTTTTCCCAAAGACTGGCTCTCGTGTGAACCAGCCAGTAGGTGCTTTGCGGTTTTCTGCTGCCTTTCCAAAGCTGCCCGGGGGCAGGGATCCAGCACAGGGCTCCGAAGTACCCATCGCTGTGCTCGAGTATTGGGAGCGCAAACCCAAGTTCCATCCTGTGGATAGTTGGCACGTATCAGGGAACTCACCCCCCAGGCATGTCCAATATTCTTAAGTCTTTTTCATTTTGTATGGTATTGTTCACCTAAAGCAGACTGTTGTCAAAAATTTATCTTCTGAAAGAGATTAAAACAGAAATTAGTAAAATGCTCACGATGTCCATGTCACACCAGCTTCCTGGATCTCTCTGGAGTCTGTGCCTTAGGTCCAGATAATAGGTGAGACGGCACTAGTGAGCTGTTATAATTAGACCCTTGCGGCTTGAGCCCACGTTCTACTTAATTACAACTTTTATCAAATCAGATAACCAGGTGGAATATGCTAGGTCAGGGCTGGGATTTTAATAGCCCTTTAAAAAATATTTATTATTAGAGAAAAATAAAATGGACAGAGGCTCAGATACCTGAGGGATAACATGAAAAATTACATCTGGGCATCTGTAAGGCCCTTCTCAACACTCGGGAAAAGGTGTCTCTCTCCCTGCCTGTATTAATGGGACCTACCAGGCATGGCCAGTGATTTCCAGATGTCTACTACTGAAATTCCTTTACACTTGTCTTTCTTTCTTTTGTTTTAGAAATTAAAAACATCATGTAGTAAGACATTTATTATTATATTCGTTTTCTTATTATAATTTGGGTTTGGTGAGAAGGGTAATTTTTTCACTTTATCATGCGAAGAAAATTTTTGTTAGTCAGGATAGGAGCATTTACTGAAATACAGTTTTCTCAGTTGAATCATGTATGCATCATCTGCATGTCACGAATATGGAAATGATCTTCGTCTATATTTCCTATCTTGAAATGCAGCTTTTCAGAACAGGGTTCAACTGTGGGCCCACAGGCTGCTCTGCCCCCAGCATTTCCCTTCTTTCTTTCTTTTTAAAAAAATCTTCACTGGAGGATACTTTTCAGTTAGTTTTCAGATAGAGTGGGAAGGAGAGAGAGAGAGAGCAATCAATGTGAGGGAGACACATCGATTGGTTGTCTCCTGCAGGACCCCACCCAGGGCTGGAGATGAACCACAGTGGCCACAATCGAACCCAGGACTCTTTGGTCCGAGGGCCGATGCTCTAACTGCTGAGTCAAACCAGCTGCCTTAAGCCATTTTGACACTTCTCTCTTCTGTATACTCTCACCCAGTCAGTTACCATGTCTGATTGAGTCCACTTGCTTATCTTCTAAAAACACCCCTTTCTCTCACTGTCTCGTGGCAGATCTGCCTCCTAGCTGGTCACCCCGGTTCTAGGCTCATGCACACCTCCCAGGTGGAATAGGGGTAACTATATTGCTGGTTTCCAACATTTTCTTGAGCAAAGACTCTCCCCCACCCCTTGCAGTTAAAAAACAAAAGGAAACAAACCAAAAATCAGACCACAGACCATCCCATGAGAGTAGTTGTTCTTTGGACTTTCAAAGGTCAAGAGAGACGTAGGCTATTTCCATCTTGTGAGTTTCCCAGAATATTAAAAAACGCTAAGAAATGCCAAATAGCTTATACAAATTATGGTGTATTTTAGCTGTTCGCATTTAATAAATTAATAATTTTAACATGGGAGAAGTATGCAGTGTAATTATGCCTTTCACAAGACAATTAGAGGATTTATTAAAACATCAATTCCTAGTGATTTATAGATGGTACCATTTGGATAGGGGGAACACCATTATATTTTGTGATGAGCATCCATGTAGCATTTTAGAATGTATTTGGCTACAAACAAACAAAGGCCTAAGAATGTAATAAGTAGATATTTACATATCTCACATCAGGCTGATTTCTTCTGCTGTGAGCTGCAGGTAGCTGGTTAGGGTTGTGGGGAGGCATTCCATGTTCATACACGTCTGTTCTCCACACGCCCGTCACGTGCATGCCCATTGGCGGACACCGCTCCTTACCCCTCCACGCACTTCTCCTAGTGCACGAGAGTCTGCGTGTGACTTAGAAAAAGGGGCTCCCTCTGCATGGCTGGGGGGTGGACATACCTCTGGGGGTGCATGGCTTGGCGCCCCGACAGTATTCCTATGCGAAGATGAAGGCTTTCTTTCCTCTGGGAAGAGCACAAACGGCACAATCAGTGATGGTGGGGAAACGGTAGTGGTGATGCTCTGCTTGAAAGGTAAATGTGCTCTATGCTTCTTTTATGATAACTGTTTACTTATTTATTTTATTGACTATTTTATATATTTGCATTTTATATTAGCAATTTATATTTTATAATAACAATTTAATTTTAAATTTTTAGTTGGATTTATTGGGGTGACATTGGTTAATAGAATTATACAGGTTTCAGCTGTACAAGTCTATAACATATTATCTGTATATTATACTGTGTAGATGTCCACCATCCCAATCAAGTCTCCTTCCATCGCCATTTATCCCCCACTTTTTAACTTTTAATTTTAGAATAGTATTAGATTTACTGAAAATTTGCCAAGACAGGGCAAAGAGTTCCCATGTACCCCAAACCTAGTTAATGAACCATACTGATGCATTATGATAAACTGAAGTATACACTTTATTTAAATTTTCCTAGTTTTTTACCTAATGTTGTTTCTAAGGTTCAGGACCCCACTGTCTTCTCAGGCTCCTCTAAGCTGTGACAGTTTTTAGACTTTCCTTGTTCTTTGACAGTTTTGAGGAGTACTGGTTGGGTGTTTTGCAGAATGTCCCTCGGCTGGGGCTTGTCTGATGTTTTCCCCGTGACTAGACTGGGTGTTTGAATAGAAACCTATTACTTAGGGATGGTCATGCCAACATGTCAGGGGATGACTTCCTTTGAAAAGATAGTTTGGTAATAGCCATAGATCCCAAAAGAGGAGTTCCATGTCACACCATGGAGGCAATAGAGAACCTCTGGGGTCGGTTATGAGGCTGGGAATGGGGAATTAGGGGAAAGAGCCTTTACTGTGGTTTCTGCAGGAAGGATTAGGCAAGGCAGAGTGACCAGGCTTAGGGTTGGCTAGTTTGAATGATTTCAGTGGCTCCAAAGCACAGGGGCTGTCCTTGTTGTGTGGTACCCGCCCTGGGGTGACTGGAGCAGGTGGACAGTGGCCTGGAGTGTGAGAGCTGAGTAAGGGAGGTGTTGGGAGTGTGGACTGTGGTTTGATTAGTTTGTATTTGAAAAGCATGTCCCTGGGAAGAGGACTGTCCCTGAAGAACTGAGGGCACAGAGGAGCTGGGAGACAAGGGAGTCACGAGGCCAGTGTACGGGGACTCAGGAGTATTATTAGGTGGTCCAGACAACGCATGTCTGCGATGTGCCTGTATGGCAGACGTCAAAGCATCAAGTTCACAGAAGATAGAAACATACTTAATACATTGCAGTTATGTGTTTTGGGAGGGAGACTGCAGAGGAGAAGTGACAATTTTATCATATCATATCAAAGGTGCATAATATCAGCCCTGGCCGGTTTGGCTCAGCGGTTAGAGCATTGGCCTGTGGTCCAGAGAGAGCCAGGTTCGGTTCCCGCTAAGGGCACGTACCTTGGTTGCAGTTTGTCCCCGGCCCTGGTTGGTCATGCGGGTGGCAGCCACTCGATGTGTCCCTTTCACATCGATGTTTCTCTCTCTCTCTCTTCCTCTCTCTCTCTCTCCCACTCTATCTGAACAAACAAACAAAAAAAAGGTGCATAATATCAGTGTAACTTATCACTGTTGATATGGACCTTGATTACCTGGCTGACCAAGCCCTGTTCTGTGACATCATATCCATTTTATGTCTGCCTTTCACATTCATTTTATGTGTTTGAAGTGTCTGTAGGGTAGGATATCGGCAAATAGTCAACATAATTCCCTGGGTTTTGATCTTCCAGAATAATGAACCCGCCTATAGTGAGTTCTGGATCTTAGAGGTGGGGTTATCTTCAGGGTGGGGCTCTCTTCAGGCAAGCTAAATTCATAGGAGAGACTTGTGTCTGAACATCCTTACTGTTCTCTAATATAATAGTTTTGCATACTTTCCAGTTGCTAAATAAATATATAAGTAAATACCCACAGCTCTATCACGAGATGCAGTTGATCACCACCGAAATCAGACAGAATATATAATATCCATTATACTAGCTATAAGTCAGAATATTCAGTGTTGGCCTATTTTCTGTATATAAATTAAAAAAATTACTTTTTACTCCATAAGTTGCCTGATGGAGCCCTCTGATGTTGGTGGTGATCATGAGAAATATGTAAATTTCCCGGCTCTGCTTTTGAAACTCCTGAGCTGGGCAAGTCAGGACATGGCTTGGTGGGTCATTCACCTGCACCTCTTTTCTCCCCTCACGCTTAGGGTCTAAGTCACAGAATTGCCTGTGGAACTCTCTCATTGACGGGCTCACAGGGAACGTCAAGGAGAAGCCACGGCCAACCATTGTCCACGACCCCCGCCCGCCGGAGGAAATCCTCGCGGATGAGTTGCCTCAGCTCGACAGCCCAGAAGCCTTCGTGAAGACATCCTTCAGGTTTGGTGGACTGCAGCTCAGTCCGTTCGTTCTTACTTGCTCGTGGAGTTATTTCAATCCGGTTGAACGCTTCGTCAGCGTGGCCAGCAATTCCTTCATTTCTTTCCGCCCAGTAAAATTAGCAGTGATGAAGGAGGGTTGGAATGAACGTGAGCTGGGCTTCTGGCTGGGTTTCCCGAATGCAGTGAAGATCGTATCAGCAGCTGAGTTGCTGTCGGGACTTAATTGGCATTGGCATTTAAATGCCGAGGCAAAGGATTTACTGATGTTGGCAATTTGAATTGGATTAATGAGTCTTTTGCTTCAAAGGAGGATGACGCATGGAGATTAGAACGTGGAGGAAAAGCGCGTGGTGGAGATTAATTCAGCCCCGTGCCCGGGGAGCCTTGAACTGTCAGAGATGTGAGAGCCACTGCCTCCTGAGAGGATCCTCTCGCGTGGTTTCCAAGCGGCTGTTGACTCTGTTCTTGTTTTTCGTATGTTCTCGAATCTTCCTGCAGAGGCCTCTTGTATTTTCTGACTTGTACTCCTCTTTCACCATGACTCTGACCCTTACTTTCTCACCGTATTAGATAAAAACCAATCTGGGTGCGGAGGAGGTGTGTAAAAGTGATTTCTTGTTTCCGAATGGGTCTTTCAAGCCCACTTTGGAAATACACTTTTGAAATGCACACCCAGCCTGCCTTCCTCCTGTCCTTTCTCCCTGTTACCCAAGTTTTACTTCTTTCATTAGATAATGCTTTCGTACTCTCCACAAGGCTAGGAGAACGTAGAAAGCTCGCTTTTCTCCCCCTGAACAGTGCAGAATACCCTTGGAGTTCATGAAGTGTCTTTGAAAAATGTGCTCTCCTTTGCATCCAGGTGATGTGTGCAATCGCTCAGTAAAAGCCACTTCACCGTGTGAAGGTTATTTGTGGAGGGTGAATTACAGATGAGTTCTGAGAAGGAGTGATGAATAGGGGTTTGGGTTTCTTTATATAGTGCGGCTGATGCAGTGGCAGAACAAGAACTGCAAGGCAAATGCTTTTATTATTCCTTGTATGGGTTTGGTTACTACGTCGTGAGGTTTGAAACACAATAAAAGCCACTGAAGGAGAGAGAAGTAGTCTGTAACCCTTTGGTTCTACGCGATTCACTGTGATGAAGGTGGGGGAGGGATGGCATTCTGGGTCTTGTGTGCTCGTCTTGGAGCACCTGGTGGAGTCGACCTTTTCACGTACAGTCTTCTTGTAGCTACTCTTTCTGTCCCAGACCAGGCTCATCGTTTCCTTCAACGAGCAGCTAAAGAGCTACTCTCATGAAAAGGACATCTTGTCTGCCAGCCCAGCTCCCTTACCATCATCGCCATGATCCCTTCTGTTTGCACTTCCTCGGTGCGCTTTAGTAGAGAAAATGTACTGATGACCATGGGCTTTGTTTGATCTGCTGGTTGTATTGTGTGTCAATGTCTTGGCTTCAGAAATAGAGTCAATCATAAGTGTTAAGGTCAGGTCTTGCATCTGGTTCCTTGCAACACTTGGTGCAGCAGGACAGACACAACATGTATAAAAATGCCAACCCTTTGGCCACTGAAGCTAGCAATTCGTTGGCATTGATTATTCTCTTATTAAATTTCTTAATACAGCTGTGGTATTCTGGAGCCATTCTTTCTTCCATAGACAGTAGTTGATTTCAAAGGCAATGTTAGAGGGTAGATATTCTTTAATGCAGTTGTCCCTAACTGTGGTAGTCAATAATCTCAGTGGTGAGATTATTATATGCAAATTATTATAAGAAAAGTACCAACATGCGGGAAAGGTTTACTTCTCAAGAAATAAATTAGAGCAGAGTCAAGGTTACCCTTGTTATAACACCGCTTGTTTTCTATATGCCTTTTGGATGGAAAAGAAAGGAATGAGTTGTAGCTGGATTTTAAATAATGCTGATAGAAATATATCACTCAGGATAGGAATATACCACTCAGGAAAAAACCTGAGAGTTGATGATTCCCACTGTTAGTGACTCTGGAAAATCTAGGAAGAATGGTGAGTGGTAACCCTATATCTGTAAACCTTGGGGTGCCTCACAGATTAGTGCTCTCAGCCCCTGTGAGAGGCTGAGGATTTGGGCTATTTTCTGACTCTGAATTTAGAGCCTTTCGGCCACCATGGTGTGTGTGTGTGTGTGTGTGTGTGTGTGTGTGAGAGAGAGAGAAACACATTTACACACACTCCCATGTACCATTAAGGGATCTAAGGCATGTGACGAGTGGTATCCTGCCCTTCTCAGTTCTGGAGGGTCTTGTTTGCTGGGGAGGAGCTCATGGTTCTCATGAACTGACGTTATCCCTATCACTTCTCTGTAGGGTTGTTACCACTGAGCAGTGCAAGATGAGTAATAGTATTGGTTACTCCCTTTTCTTTCTTCTTGTTCACATTCAAAGGGTATTTGCGATCTGGGACCACAAAATCAGCTTTATTATTAAATAAGATCCAAGTTGCCATGACAACAAGCCCAATGTGCCAAAATATCGGGAAGTCCAGTCTTTTCTTGGGGTTTTTCTCCCTAACTGTTTCCAAGGAGCCCCGGGCTTACTGTCAGTGGTTTAAGAGTCAGCCTTTGATCCTTATGTCTGTTTTTATACTAGTACCACACTGTTTTGAGTACTGTGGCCTCATAGTATAGTTTGATATCAGGTAGTAGGATTTTTCCTACTTTGTTCTTCTTCCTCAAGATTGCCGAGGCTGTTCAGGGTCTTTTTATGATTCCATATAAATTTTTGGAATATTTGTTCTAGTTCTGTGAAATACACCATTGGTATCTTGATAGGAATTGCATTGAATCTATATATTGCTTTGGGTAGTATGGACATTTTAAGATGTTAACTCTTCCTATCCATGAACATGGTATATGCTTCCACTTATTTGTATCTTCTTCAGTGTCTTATAATTTTCTGAGTACAGGTCTTTTGCATCCTTGGTTAAATGTAGTCCTAAGACTTTTTATTTTTGAAGCAGTTGTAAATGGGATCCATTTCCTTAGTTTCCCTTTCTAATAGTTCATTATTGGTGTATAAAAATGTAATTGATTTCTGGATATTTATTTTGTATCCTGCTACTTTACTGAATTTATTTACCAGTCCTAGTAGGTTTCAGGTGGAATCCTTAGGGTTCTCTACATACAGTACCATGAATGGTGGTGGAGGGAGACCTGACTTGAGGTGCTAAACACACAGTACAATATACAGATGATGTGTGTAGAACTGTATACCTGAAGCCTGTATAATTGTATTAACCAATGTCACGCCAATAAAGTCAATTAAAAAAAGTCAGCCCTTATCCTGCTCTGCCCCCTGCCACCTGGCAGGGAAATGGGGTCTTATGTGGAAGGTGGACTTTCTGACCTCCATGAAGCTACCAGTCCAGACCTCCTCGTCTCCTCCTGCTGGCGGCTCTTGTCCTTTCCTGACACCTGGCCTTAGCACTGCCACCTCAGACATTTCTAACAACACTGATCCTCAGAAGAAAGGACCTAAAGGCTTCACTTCACTTTCCCCAGCCATTTTTCCCTAGCTCTTTGCAAGTATGTAGACATAATTATATGCAAACCACTCCCAGGACCAAGTGTGGGTACTTATTTTATATTTACATAGTGTTTTCATTCAAATAGTTCCTTCTATTAAAGGGACAGTCGCCCTGAATGTAAATTCTGTTCCCTATTTCCAAAGGTAGGAAGTGTTTATAAATTTACAGGTGGTAGGTGTTTTTTAAACATTTTATAAGTTTGTATGTTTCCGTCTCCCCCCGGCTTCCTGTCACAACAGTAATGACAATGATGGGTACTGGACCCCCAAAGTAGAGCCCATAGTTCAGATCGAATCCCAACACAAATCAATATGGACAATTGCTTGTAACTTGGTGGTCACCCGTGGCAGAAGCAAGGGCTACCTTGTGTGAGCTTTAGGTCCTACTTAATCTGCAATGGAATTCCATCCCAAATAAATATGTCACCTACAAACTCATGCTTTTGGTACAAATGCAGCTTTAAGACAACTCCTTTCCCAACCAAAGTGCCGCCGGTGCCCAGCACCGTCTGTGTTGGGTAGCTATCGTGCCGAGGGCGTGGCAGACAGCGAGAACCTGGTGTATAGGTTTAGAAATAAGGATTTTAGAAAATCAGAGGCACCACCTTTACCCCCCAAAGCTTGTAAGTTCATAGCTGAGGGGTGTGCAAATGCCATCTCCACTCTGACATGGTCCCTGACACTGTCCCCTCGGGTCCCCTTTTCTGGGCAGTGATGATGAGGCAGATGTCCCGTGTCTTGAAGCAGACAGTTCAGCACTTGGAGGGAAGGGTCTCCTTATTCTTGTCTTGCTTCAAATCTCAGCTGATATTGCTGGAAAGGAACAGAGTTTTGTGCTGTGTTGTGCTGCGGACGTTAGTCTTTACTCCTCGTGAAGGGGCCATTTCAAACTACCCAGGTAGGAAAATTCGACTCTGAAAGTGGCTGAACTGGACTTCCTCTCAGTCCTGTTAGCACCGGCAGGTTGCTCCACCTCTGCGAACCTCTGTTTCCTTAACTGTCACACCTGAGCGCTGAGCTCAAACAGTGATTCTCAAATTTGTTGCATCACAATTACCCGGAGGGCTACAGATTGTTGGGCTCACCTCCAGGTCTGGGTGGTGTCCTACGATGTGCCTTTCGGACAAGCTTCAGCTGCTGCTGCTCCTGCTGGTCCAGGGGCCACACGTGGAGAACCACTGGACTAGATGATATTTAATATCCCTTTGAGCGCTACAATATTTTGCTATGTTACTTTGAGCAGGGCACTTATCTAATTTGGCCTCAGTTTTTTCATCTGCGAAATAGGGACAAAGATGCCCACTTCTCAGGGTTGTTGGGAGGATGTAAAGCAGATAATAGTTTATGTGAAAGAGACAGGCTCTGTATTTGACACCCAGAATGTGCCCGGTAAGTACTAATTTTGTATTTCTGCTTAGCACCCACCCAAGCCTCGCCT